ACTGTTGATGGTCTACTGCTGGATAGAAGTGTTCGAGAAAACGACATGCAACGCCTCGCCATGATTTTTGCTTCACTACTACTGTATCCAACTGGGAACGATGAGATTCAGATTTCAGGGTTTAAGGGACGTGACGAGCTTACAAAACCTCGGTTCGGGCTGTGGGCCTGTTAAGAAAAGGGTACGTACTTAGAATTTGGGCTTCTTACGAAAGAAGGTGAAGCAAGTGAAAGATCATGAAAATTTGAGAGGAAGTGAGAAAATTAAATTAGAAAATTTTCTAGCATTTGAAGTAATTACAAAAATTCATTTTTCTTTCTCTCTTAACATCTGAATACATCACTCAATTTCTATCGAATACATTATAACTTTGTTTGTGTACAATGTATCTGATTCAAATGTTATTATTGATACATAACCCCAATTATTTAAAATCTAAATCACTATGTATCTATACATAACTCATGTAGCATTTGTTATGTATCAAGCGAAGGAGCAATGTATCTGTGAGTTATGAAAAATTCAAAATTATTGTAAATTGGAAAACTTTCAAGATAGGATATAACTAACACTCAAATTACTGAGGTTTTTATACTTTATATACAATTAATATAGCAACTTAACTTTACCATTCCTTCTATTTGAAATTATGATATTCCTTTAATTTGCTTGAGAAGTAAGAATCCATATCTAAAATCATATAAAAGTATTATCAATTACAATTGTTATGATTATAAAATTTAAAAAAACAATGAAAAGGTTCTTCTCTGTAAAATGAGAAAAAAAAGTGTATATGTTTGTTATATACCTTACGCTAACAAGTATGGATTTTATCAGCTAGAGTAAAACACACATCAAATATCATCTAATGTCGATATTTTTTATTCACCAATCAAACATTAAAAAATATTTTTTAGTTACCAACCAAACATGAGAAAATAATTAGAAATCTACTTGTTTTCCAAGAAAACATTTTTAATCGTACCAAACACACCCTAGATGATGATGATGAAATAATTAGTGCGTAAATAATAAATATACTCTGAATGCTTTCGTTATCAAACATAGCGATGGGTCACGACAAGATCCATAACCTGTCCCTCTTGCCAGTTAACACTTGGCCCATGTCATGTGTAAATGAGCTAATCAAATCAATTACTCTACTACTTAAAAACAGTCTAATTTAGCTTTCAAATTTATATGAGTTTCAATTATGTCTCATGTATATCTCCCTTACATGGCACAAATTCACTATTTTGTCTTTCAGATTGATTCTTTTTATTTGTACAGCTCTATTTTCTTACAATCTCTTTGCTAATACATTAAAATGGTGTGATACACGAGTCTTCTTTCATGATAATAAAAATTAATGAGTAATTCATACATTAAAGTCTATTTCTACTTTTGTCTTTTGTTATTAAAGTTTGTATTTATATTCGTAATCAAGTTAAACTGACAAGTTTATTACATTGATGGAAGATTAAATTTTAAGTCCTTCAATATTCAAATTCAATTTATCAAGTTCAAACTCTTGAATCGAAATTTAAAAGAAAAAAAAAACTAAAGAAAACTTTCTTAAGATTTAAATTATTCTTAAAATTACAACTCTTAGTAGGAAAAATTATGAACATTATTGTGACTTTGTTTATCAAGGACTACTCACTACAAGACAAGGCAATATCTAATCCAACCTAACGAAGCCATGAAGTTGAAACTTAATAAACAAGTCAATTTTCTCAATATTTGAAAATTGAAAAACTTGTTCAAGATCAGTATTTCAAAGGAAATAATGATTGTTATTAATAACACCTTGATTTTTCCTAAATAAAATTATTAACATAATTTAAACTTTGACATTTTTTTTTAAATCTTCAACTTTAAATATTTATGTTTTTTTTCCTTTAACCAAATAGCATCAAATCGGCTACTTATCTTTCACGGCTTGAAGGAATATTTTTAACACAATGTGGTAACTTAAATCAAAATATATATAGAAAACGTTGTTTCTTTTGGTAAAGAATTCAGATGCGCACAAGATAAACTTCGCTTCAATATAATAGCCTGCAAATCACAAAAAAAGAAAAATTAATCGTACTAAGCAACCCTCATGTGGCAAGCTTGACCAAAAAAATATATAGAAGATTCCAAACCTAAAACTCTCCTTTGAGAGATCACTTACACAACCGGTCACATATTTACATATTTGTTTCTTAAAAAGTTTGTATATACTCACTTGAACATTCAAGTGTAACTTTATTCTCGCATAAAGAGTCATATATAATGTCAACGTCATGCCATTATTGTACTAAAAACTCAGCAGGTCGCCAATCTCTATCTAATGAAATGTTTTAGTCAAACGAGTGTAACAACAGATTGACCTTTATTTGTTCTTTGAATTTGTCTTAATTCCATCAAAAGAGTAGTAGTTGATAAATCTTTTTTTTTGTGACAAAGCGTTGCAAATTAGCGGGTGTGGGTGGCGTTCCGTATTCAATTTGAGATACTCAAATTTGGGTTTAGTAATTCAGTAATTAGTAGTTAAAAGTAGATATGGAATATTAAAATTTTACATGGGGTAAACAACACAAATTTTATTAATTTAGGAGCTAATTACATTTTTTTCCGTGAGTGCAATATTACTAATCCTACCATGATTTGCATATTGGATACATTTATCTAGGCCATTTAGATACATATAACTCAGATATATGTTAATTAGGTATATATAATTAAATAAATTTAAATAAGGAATGTAACTAGAAGACATAAATTAAGGAGAAAATCATGTGTTTAAAAACTTCAGAAAATTTCAAAAAATCATTTTTATGTGTATTTGATATGTTCATTTTATGTATCTAAATTGTTTTCCTGTGTATCTGATATATAGTTAATGATTAAATGTATCTAATTTGTTCATTCTATATATCTGAACTATTCTTCTACGAATCTGATATAGTTTCTTTTGCGTATCTCTTGTACTTCGTACTTTTGCTTTTGTTCACGATTGTGTATCATAATAATGTATGTCTAGTTAGATAGTTTTTTCCTTTCAAATTTCGATTTGGTAGTGTATTCGGTAATACCGTATTGAAGTTGTAACCGATTGTATTATTACAAAGTTAATACTATTTCTTAAATTATTTATATTTTTTTATGTGGAAGAACATATATTAGAAGTTCGACAAGTAAGAAAACATCCATAGAGGCGAATTGATACAACTAAAAGACATATATATTTGGGTTGTTTTAAGTTTATTCTTTAACTTTCTCTTTGCACTTGCACTAATGAGTAATTGACATGTTGATACATGACATTTATAAGTAAATAATTTGGTATTCAAGAAATACCGATTACAAAATGTTACTAACGTCTCACACCAAACCCAAATCTGAATACCATAATTCTAAAATTTTGCTCCCAAATATCGATTGCTAAAAAAATCAATTTAATTTTCGGTATTTTATGCCCTGTAAAACATTTGTAGTAATTTTTTATTTTTAAATATTACTGGACAATTATGTTATCGCCTTCCTTTATAGTCGTTACTAGAAAGCGAGCTAAGAAATTAAATTAATTTAATAATTTGTTGTATAATTGTTAAAAATTAAATTAGATCAGATATGTCATTAATGGACGTGTGTAGGTTCAAATACATTCTTATTAGTCTTTTAATTATGTTTGACTAAGTTGTGTGTGTGAAGTAAAGATATTTTTGGAGTTTGTTTGAATGAACTTCTTATTTATGGCTTATAAGTCAAAAATTATAAATTAAAATTATTGACTTACTATTTTTTATTTAGTTTTATTTTTTTTACTTTAAAACAAGTGTTTAAAAATATTTTTTTAATTAAATATTCAATAAAAATAATAATTACTCATTTTATTAAATTTGAATAGGTCACAAACTCACAATTACTCAAGAGTAATATTGATCTTTTCTCTATTAAAAATAGAATAGCCGACAAGCATTACTTTCTCAAGCCATAGAACATGCATCGCATTTATTGACTTTGTATAATATAAAGTTAAAGTTACAATTAATTTTCTAGTATAAAGACGCGACACGTAGATTTTAGTCGCATTGGAATTTTAAAACGGTAAGGAATTGCCTACCATTCCACCAAAGCGGGGCACACTCGCGCCTTAATTTGTGGCAGTTACCCCGGCGTCTAAATTGCCCCTCTTCCCCTTTCTACGCTCTCAACTTATCAAACAAAATTATAAAAAAATAAAATAAAAAAATCTTGTCAAACAAAACACATAATAAATTACCTCAATTGTCACACTGTTAAATGGTAAGAAATCCTTCATTAAAGAATCTTTATTTCCTCAATTGGAAATAATACTATAAGGAATTTGATGAGAATTTTCCGTGTATTAATTGAACCATCAACGAATTAAAATTTCAATAATTGCATCAAGTTAAAAGATGATAAATTGACAATCATATTAAAGATGGTAGGTGTACCTTCACTACATTATTTATTCTGTCCCTTTTCAGAATGCTCGGAGGGTGAGGGTAAGGGTAATTGCAAGCTCAAATCCTTAGCTTTCTTAAAAGAAAAAAAAGCAAGAAAATTGTACCAACTCCTATTTCACAGGTCCTCCGTTGAAGTCTTTGATTTGGTAGTTGATAAAGTTAGATCCGAATGACTAATAAATCCCTAAACTTTGTCGTATATTAGCTCTATATTCTTTGCGTGATTACTCATGGATCTACTTTCCTATTTATAATACTCCTATTATATTTTGGAATCAATAATTTTGAATTGATTTTTCTAAAATTGTTGAATCAATAAATGTTATGCCCATGATGTCAGGAGTAGTAAAAGCTGGATGTGTCGGTGGTAATAGTAAAGAAACAACCTAACTTTTTTATTTTTACACTCAAAACTTCAGTTACACCAAGCGAGGCAACCACTCTGCTAACCAAGAATTTTCTATACAGACTCTCACTTTCTTCTCTGTTCTCTGCAATTCTTCCGATTACTTGTTTCAGTCCATTTTTCATCAAATGCTTCCACCTTACTCCAACGAGTCGCCAGACGCCGATGAAGCTATGCGCAAACCTCCTAAATCCAACAACAATGATTTTCTAAGGAATGCTGTGAGTAATTTCCAGTATCAGATTTCTACTCACCCTCGTTTCTGGCTATTTACCTTCTTCCTTTTTTTCCAACTTGTGGTGCTTATCTTTACTCGCAATTCCCCTTTCCCTTTCTCAGTTCACTCCCCACCCAGTCCTCTTCCCCAATTCCCTTCAGAAATCGCCGTATTTCCCGATATACAGACACCCCATCACGATAGAAATGTAATTTATCCCTTCGGCGATTCTGAATGCGAGTATGGTCGGGTCTATGTCTATAATTTACCATCCAAATTTAACAAAGATTTAGCCTTGTTGACCTGCGACGATCTAGACCCATGTAAGTGGCAGTGTGGCCTTGTGACTAATGACGGATATGGAAAGAGATCGATGGAGCTCGCCGGAATCTTGCCGGGAAATCTCTCCGCAGCGTGGTATCGTACAAATCAGTTCTCATCGGAGGTAATATTTCATTACCGGCTTTTAAACTATAGATGTAGAACCAACGACCCAGAATCTGCTACAGCTTTCTACATTCCGTTCTACGCCGGACAGGCTGTTGGAAAATACCTTTGGACTGATGAAATCGAAAATCGTGATTTGCTTAGCAACAAATTACTGAAATGGGTTCAGAGGCAAAAGTATTGGAAAAAATATAAGGGTTTGGATCATTTCCTAACTCTTGGTCGGATAACATGGGATTTCCGGCGATTAGGTGACCCGGAAAAACTCTGGGGATCCTCTTTTCTAAATCGTCCACAGATGCAGAATGTAACGCGATTCACAATCGAGAAGGCTCCATGGGATGCAAACGATATCAGTGTACCTTACCCTACCGGATTCCACCCTCACTCCGAGAAAGAACTCCGGGAATGGCAAAACTTTGCGCTTTCATATAACCGCACCAGTCTTTTCACCTTCATAGGGGCGGCGCGTGGGGATATCGATAGTGATTTCAGATCAAGGTTAATGAGTTACTGTAGGAACGAGTCAGACTCGTGCCGAGTCGTGGACTGTGCCGTGATTCCCTGCTCTAACGGTTCATCAGAAATCCAAAAAGCACTTCTGAGCTCAGACTTCTGTTTACAGCCCAAAGGGACAGCTTAACTCGGCGGTCGGTTTTCGATTGCATGGTAGCCGGTTCAGTACCAGTTTTCTTCTGGAGGCGAACGGCTTACACTCAGTACCAGTGGTTTTTGCCGGAAGACCCGGGGAGTTATTCTGTGTTTATAGACCCGGAAGCAGTGAGAAACGGGACAGCTTCCATTAAGGAAATTTTGAAGAGTTACAGTAAAGATCAAGTGAGGAAAATGAGGGAAAAAGTTGTAGAGACAATTCCAAGAATAGTGTATGCAAGGCCAAGTGGAGGTCTTGGGAGTGTCAAGGATGCATTTGAAATTGCAATCGAAGGAGTATTGAAGAGGGTCAAGGACGAAAACGAATGGAAGGAATATGTGGATATGGGCAGTTGAAGATGATGTTGGGAAGTTTGATGAATGTTGTAAAGTATATAAATCTTTCCCTTAATATTCAGCTATACATACTGTTATAAATACAGGGACAAGTTTGAAGCCAGACGGGTAATTCTATATGGCTGGTGATATGATTCTTTGTTTTCAGAATCAGCTTAGGTTACTGGATGATGGAGAGCTTGGATTTTATACATGTATTTCCAAATATTTTTAGAAATTTGTGTTAAGACCAGAGGAAAAAAGTGAGGTCAATTGTTGTTATTTGCAGGTAAGAGATATATTGATCAGATTTTGGCGATTCTTGTTTCAGTTCCATGTACTAAAATAAGGTTTCATATAGATCAACATTTCAGCTTGTTACTTTCTATCTAATGCAAACAAGTTGTTTGGTAGATAGTGAGGAGCTAAGTTATTGCTGCATTTTGTTCTTTTCCGTTGTTGCACTAATGTAATGTTGTGCACTGTCTGCTTGCTTAGAGTGTGATTATTGCTTTGGTATAACATATTAGAAGGCAAAGAGGCTCTTTTCAATCAAAGTGTTTGGTTGCAAACTCAAGCATGAGGTTTGTGCTCTGTTTTAAACCATAAAACTGTTTGTATGCTGGGTTGGATCGTTCAATGCCCGCTGTTTATACAACATTCTACACTTGATATGTTATACATAAGAGGATGTTTTATTTGAGAACTTAATTGATATTGTAAGCATTTCTGCAATGATCATTGTGGTCACTAGGTTCAAGGACTTGATTGTATTAGTAAATGCTCCGCAACATTCTTCTAGTGAGATGAACTCTTTGACCTCAATATGGTAGACTGTAGTATGTGATTACGTTTGTTATGTTTGTACTTTTAATAATTGTTAGGGAGAATTATGAAGAGCCGTAGAAGTACACTCATGGTCATTGTTCACATCAAACAGATGTTTGAAGGAGAGTTTGCTTTGCTTGGTTATCACTCCAAGGTGTAGAAATCTTGGTGTGCAAGCTGTTAAATCCAATATAGAAACTACCTGGAGAGTACTTGGGAATATATTATGCTAATATCAACTATCAAGCCTAGCAATTTTTGACCCAGTTATTATATTATACTGTGGTTGCAGAATAAATCCTATTTATAAAGCTAAAAGAACCTAAACTTTGACAGGCTAATTAAAACAAGTTGGAGCAGCATAATATTTAAAAACTCTGTTGACTCAACAACCCCATCATATATAAACCAAACAAGTGCAACAAATTGAGATATGTCACAAGGCAAAACATGGAAGCAACTTTGCTGCTCTCTATATGTTTACTAGTACTAACTCTGTAATTTGTTGTTTGAGACGAAGAAAGCTCAATCTCCTGCCAAGCCCCCTACTTAAACTTCCAATTATAGGGCATCTTAATCTCCTAAAACCTCCTCTATATCGCACTCTTGCTAAGCTCTCAACAAAATATGGCCCGGCATTCTCTCTTCAATTAGGTACCCGTCTTGTTGTGGCAGTTTCCTCGGCATCTGCTGCCGAAGAATGTTTCACCAAAAATGATATCGTTTTTGCCAATCGCCCTCGTTTAACTATTAGCAAATACATAGGTTATAACTATACTACTGTCGGTGATTCCCCTTATGGTGATCACTGGCGTAACCTTCGTCGCCTCTGTGCACTTGAAATTTTCTCCAATAATCGTCTCAACAATTTTCAGCCCATTCGACAGCATGAAATCAATAATCTTGTTCACAGAGTGTTTCATAACTCTGGCGACAATTTTGGGACTCCTGTTGACCTTAAGTCCAAGCTTTTTCAGATGTCATACAATATCATCATGAGAATGGTAGCTGGAAAGAGATATTATGGTGAAGAGGAAGACAACGAGCTAGGAGGCAAATCATTTTCATTATATATATATTTTGGACCAATGAATTGAAAAGTCTATATTGGGTCAGCAACCTCATGAGATAAATTTCGTTATCCAATTATGTACTATATATATTTTGGACCAATGAATTGAAAAGTCTATATTGCCTCATGAGATATAAACCAAGCAAGTGCAGCAAGTTGAGATATGTCCAAGGCAAAAAAATGGAAGCAACTTTGCTGCTCCCTATTTGCTTACTAGTACTAGTTCTAAAACATGTTTTGTCAAGACGAAGAAAACTCAATCTCCCACCAAGTCCATTACTTAAACTTCCAATTATAGGCCATCTCTATCTCCTAAAACATCCTCTACAGCGAACCCTGGCTAACCTCTCAACTAAATATGGCCCTGTTTTCTCCCTTCAATTGGGCACCCGTTTTGTTGTGGTGGTTTCCTCCTCATCTACTGTCGAAGAATGCTTCACCATAAACGATGTCGTTTTTGCTAATCGCCCTTGTTTAATGATTGGAAAATACATAGGTTATAACTATACTACTGTCGCGGGTTCCCCTTATGGTGGTCACTGGCGCAACCTTCGCCGCATCTGCGGACTTGAAATTTTATCCACAAATTGTCTCAACAATTTTCAGCCCATTAGACAACATGAAATCAAGCTTCTAGTTCATAGAGTGTTTCACAACTCTGGTGACAGTCCTTTTGAACTTAAGTCCAAGTTATTTCAGATGTCGTACAATATTATCATGAGAATGGTAGCTGGAAAGAGATATTACGGTGAAGAGGTAGATAGCGAGGAGGCAAATCATTTTCGGAAGCTTATGGAAGAGGTTAATTCATATGGAGGTGCATCAAATCCCGCAGATTTCATGCCTGCAATATTTCTGTTGTTTTTCAAGAGCACGGAGAACAAATTAGCCAAGCTTGGTAAAAAGATGGACGCTCTCTTGCAAGGTTTGGTTGATGAACATCGTCGCGATAAAAGCTAGAATACTATGATTGATCATTTGCTTTCTTTGCAAGAATCAGAACCAGAGTATTACACTGATCAGATAATCAAAGGGATTGTTTTGGTAAGCTTCCTTCTAGTCTCTATGTTAGTTGAGAATCTCTGTCACTTAGAAGGCCCCATCTTCTCTCTTTATATCGTTTCTGTGCCTCATCTATTCTCTCTTTCACACTTCCTTTCTTACTGCTTACTGTTCTTAAATCTTTGTGCTACCTTCAATTGCAGAAATATAACAGCCAATTCCCAGTTGTTTCCTACTTCTCTTGCATTACTTCTCCAACCCCACTGGACCAGACTCCTCTCCATTTCCCACAATGGGGTCTTGAATTTCTTATACGTGTCCCTCGTACAATCTAAGGGATAATATTTATTTAGTTAACCTGAGTTGAAGCTTTTAGTTAACTAAACTAAATAAATATTGCCCCTTAGATTGTACAAGGGTCTTGGATAAGAAATTCAAGACCCTGCCGTGGGAAATTGAGAGATTAACCACCGGAGAGGACCCGGGTCCAGAGTGGGGTTGGAGAAGTAATGCAAGAGAAGCAGGACACAACTGATATTTTTTCTCTCTAAACTCTATATATGAAGAGGAAAAAGTAGAGATGACCATCTCCATTTACACTCTAAACTTCACTATTTCACTTTTCTATATTTTATTATTATATATCATTTGTAATTAAACATAGTATAAATTATATACCATTAATGAAGTCTCTAATTATTTTCTAATGTAATATCTTTATTATATTAATTTTAAATTTATACTTTTAGTTTATAAATTAGTTTCCATAAAAATAATTTTTATTTAAGATATAAGTTAGTTTTATTATAATTTATAATTGTATTAAACAAATAAATGAAAAGCACATGTAAAACGAGTAATTAAATTAAAAACATATAAATTTATTATTGAAAAATATACTATTTTCATCCCGAATTAACAATCTTTTAACTTTAGAAAATATTTTAAATATTTATCACTTTAAATATGTAAATTAAAATTATAATTATGTTTCATTTCTTACAAAATTTAAAATAAGTGAAACAATCTACTTTTATTATAGTGAAATTATTCAATCACACTATTTGATGAGCATAAGATCAAATAGATGATGCAATAGTTAAAAATGGAATAGGGAAAGAAACACTTGATGCATGATATTGTTAAAAATACAATACAAGATACTTGAGAAGTTCGGACTTCAAATCCAACGGCAGAAATGGTGATAGATGTTTCTCAGGGTAATAACTGTTAGGATATACTATTAACCATGCGTTTTGATATAGTATTATTATTGAACAATTGTTTATTTATTTATTCAATTCAATAAAGTGTTACATTAAATAGATCAATTGTCATATATGTGTCCTTAACTTATATAGTAGATGATTTGGTGTATAGAGTTTAAGCTTATACACAGAAGATTAAATCATCGGTTCTTATAAGTTAAAAGTTGTAGTTCACAATCGTAGATGGAAATTTGGACAAAATCATTAGAAAGATTGTAGCACGAGATTAAATGTAATTTATCTTGATTATGAGAATGGTATAGGTCTAACTTGTCGTGCTAGTGCATTTTGTATGTATTGAACGGGACCGAGCCGAGATAGTGTTTTAGACTGACTGATAAAAACATATTCTCAAACTATTAAATGTACTTATATTCTTAATCTTGATATAATGATTATGATCTGTATATATTAATTATCGTTTTGATTTATTAAAAGGTGAGATTCTGAGATGGGTCAATATGTCTGGTAGATTGGATGATGTTAAATATATTGGTGAAATAATTAGTTAGTTGTTGGAATCCATGTCTCAATATAGAGGTTGATGATACACCTTTTTATGAGAAACTTATAAGTTTTCATGTGTAAACCCGACCGGTAGATTTATGAATCTGGCACATGAAATAAGTTAAGTATTGCTCTAAAGGAAATTAATCATTGAATTGAATTCGTCAGTAATTTAATTTATTGATTAGTTTCTGTAATCTTAACATGAGGAATTACATAAGTGTTTAATGGTGAATTTCGAAATATAAATAGAGGAGTGCAATTACGAATTTCTAGTGGAATGATTTGTAATTTATTATGGTAAGAATAATTCAAATTAATTATTTGGAATTATTTCCATAATAGAAAGCCTCATTAATAAATTATGTGGTCCCTTCAATGCCCAATTTAACTAGAACTCAGAATCTTATTTTCTGGTAAAACGAAAAAAGAAGCGTGTTTCTCTTGGAAAAAGAAACGTGTGTTTCTTGGTTTTCTTGAAAGAAAAGGAATCCTCTTTGGACTAGGAGGAAATCTCTATGTGTAAGGATTCTTATGATCTAGAAAGAGAATACAATATTCTATAGAATACTTGCCCACCCAAGTATTGAGAGAGTTCAATTGTTAATTGGGATCACTGTAGACTGTAGAGCTGGAGTCGGATTTACTTTAAGATATCAACACACGCTTCAAGAGGTAATCCTGAGTTAATTTTCAGCATACTTTATATGTGATGCGTATTTGTGATTGTTGTCTATACTCATGCGCTTCAAGAGGTAATCCTGAGTTAATTTTCAGCATACTTTGTATGTGACGCGTATTTGTAATTGTTGTCTATACTCATGCAAGATGTATGATTCTGGAATGTTTCCGCTGTGTATGCTATTTTCCAACAATAACGGCAGGTCATGCTAAATGCGGGAACTGATACATCATCGGTGACAACAGAGTGGGCAATGTCTCTTCTACTTAACCATCCAGAGGTGTTGGAGAAGGCTAGAACTGAAATAGACAACCATGTGGGTAAGGATCGTTTAGTTGATGAAGCGGATTTACCCAAGCTGAAGTACCTTCAAAGTATCATCTCCGAGACACTCCGGTTGTTCCCAGCAGCACCAATGCTATTGCCTCATGAACCATCTGAGGATTGCAAGGTCGCTGGCTTCCACATTCCACGAGGCACGATGCTATTGGTGAATGCTTGGGCCATTCATAGGGACCCGTTACTTTGGGAGGATCCGGATAGCTTCAAGCCAGAAAGGTTTGAAGGTGTGGAAGTGGAATCATGGAAGTTGTTGCCATTTGGAATGGGAAGGAGAGCATGCCCTGGCTCCGGACTTGCTCAACGTGTGGTTGGTTTAGCTTTAGGAACTTTACTGCAGTGTTTTGAATGGAAAAGGGTAAGCGATGAGAGGGTCGATTTGACAGAAGGAAAAGGTCTCACTATGCTAAAAGCTGAGCCACTCATGGCTAGATGCAAAGCTCGTGAAATTGTTCACAAACTTCTTTCAGAAATATCCTGATGTGTCTTTCTTGCATGTTGTTAGTTTTGAAAGGTTTGAACAAGTAATAAATTATTGTCTCATATACTATGCACTACCTGAGTTTCTAATTTGTCATTCAGATACTTTGGAATAATATACATATGAGGTGCTACTTCATTCGAATGGTGAAATCATAGGCCGTGGACTACAGATTTGATGATTTTAATTGGAATTATCATCTTGAAACGAAGCAACAACATAAATATGAAAGATTACTAAAATGTCAACAGATATTAATTCAGAACCCATAATTTTTAATGAACAATTGATCAGTGGTCATTTCGCGGTCGAACCCATGCATCAATTTAAATCCTCCTGGCGTAAAAGTATAGTAGTAACAAGGCTATAAGCCTTTGGACTCAGTTACAACTCCCAATTGCAGTAAGTAATTGGAATTTTTGTAAAGAAGACATCATTTCTTCTCAGGAACTGCTCAAATTTCATATATCTAAACTTGCTGGTGTCCTCACGCACGGTGGAACCTGTTTCCATGCTTCACGGAGAAGCTTGTATCTAACAACATTCCTTGCAGGTTTCGCTAAATTCGGATAATCCTTGAACCTATCAGTAAGGAACGAAGTAAACGGTGAGTCTAGTTCATCAAGCTCAGCACAGATGATCCAGTACTTTTTAGAACTTGATTTCCAACCTTCTCCATGAAAGTGGTGAGAGACAATGCTGGAGGAGGTGTATACAGTGGAAGCTCTTTTTAAAAAAAGGGAAAAAATTGTTGCAAAAAAATTTGAACACGCGAGCACCGACTCATTAAAAATATCTGAACACACATTCAAGACACCTTAAACCACTAGGCTATAACAACCTACTATGTTAAGGGTGTCCAAAATATCTAATTTAATCACTTCGTGTATTATTTTACTTGTATATGCGACATTTTTTCCGACGAATTGGACACCCTCTCATACATGTGCCTACGCCCCTGGGTGTATAGGCCGTCCAGGTTGCAGTACACGGGAAGCTAGTGACTAGTGTGATGCTCTCCAGATACATCATTATTCAGGGAAAAACGAGTATGTAAGAAAGGGTAAATTGCAACTAATCTTTATGGATGATCACTAGCAAGCGGACCCAGAATTGTTATTATTTTAGAACGTGAACACATAACTTTAAAATTTTCCTAAGACCTTAATCACTAGTGACTAGACTAAACCTTTAACTTGTATCAAAAGGTTTCAATACTTTTATATATATTATTAAACTAAAATTTAACCTATATATACGACCAAGGGGTGACACCCCTCGGCTAAGGGTGGATCCTCCCCTGTCAGGATGATAAATATGCTGGAAATAAACAAATGTTAGGGATATTAACCCATAAAATACGCTGGCACATATCTTCTATTTTTAATACGCTTGGCATAGATATAAATATTTGTAGGATTTTTTGTGTAACTACAATTAGTCCATTACTATGATATATTGTGAAAAGAGGACTAGAAGAATGATGTTTACAAAAGAATCTCTTAATAAAATTTATTGATTATTATTTATTTTTAGGTGAGGAAAATATGTAGTTTGATAAATATTTTTTAAGAATTCGTGATTTTTAATTGTTTGAAAGCTAAAACCTTATAGTTAGCTTACATCTCATATATTAGCTTTACCACTATTGCAATATTTTTTACATCTAAAATATGCTAGATATTCTGTTTTCTATGAATTTCTTTAATTCTTTTCAATTTTCTTAAAATTTTAATATATTTTCTACATATTTTGTATTATTATGCTATTATATTATAAATTAAATTTTTTTAAAATATAGGTGCATCATGGCTTACGTTGCTTTTCTTGGATATCACTCGATTGTTTCTAGAAGGTGTAGACAAGGCCAGAGAGTCCTGGCGATTACGTTAATACTCTTTTCATTTATTTTTACTAGTCAAATATTTTCTAATTTGATTTTATTTTTACATTTCATTTTTGACAAAATAAAAAAAAATACATATATTTCTTCCTATTACACCCTCAACTTATTTATATTGAGTTGACATCAAGTAAAAAAGTGGCAAGTAAATCCAAACAGAGGGAGTAGTATCATGTATAGCAAACTTTTGACCCTTTGTTTTATCAAAGACAAATGTTTTTTTGAGTGGACCGATAAGTTGAAAAGTCTAGGTTATCTCAACAACCCCATCATATATAAACCAATCCAGTGCAACAAGTTGAGATATGTTCTAAGGCAAATAATGGAAGCAACTTTGTTGTATAGTATTTCACTCTCTATTTTGTTTCTACTTTTACTTGTTAAACTTGTTTCATCAAAACGAAGAAAACTCAATCTACCGCCAAGCCCACTATTTAAACTTCCAATACTAGGCCATCTCTATCTCCTTAAACCACCTCTACATCGCACTCTTGCTAATCTCTCAACTAAATATGGCCCTGTTTTCTCTCTTCAATTAGGTACCCGTTTTGTTGTGGTAGTTTCCTCACCATCTGCTGCCGAAGAATGTTTCACCAAAAATGATATCGTTTTTGCTAATCGCCCTCGGACAATGATTGCAAAACTCATAGGCTATAACTCTACTACTGTAGCTGGTTCTCCTTATGGTGATCACTGGCGCTACCTTCGCCGCCTCTACGCACTTGAAATATTCTCCACTAATCGTCTCAACAATTTTCAGTCCATTAGACAACATGAAATCAAACTTCTAGTTCAAAGAGTGTTTCACAAATCTGGAGACAATTTTGTGATTCCTGTTGAGCTTAAGTCGAAGCTTTTTCAGATGTCGTATAATATTATCATGAGAATGGTAGCTGGAAAGAGATATTACGGTGAAGAGATAGATAACGAGGAGGCAAATCATTTTCGGGTGCTTATAGAAGAGGTTATTTCATTTGGGGGTGCATCGAATCCCGCAGATTTCATGCCTGCAATATTTCTGTTGTTTTTCAGGAGTACGGAGAACAAATTAGCCAAGCTTGGTAAAAAGATGGACGCTCTCTTGCAAGATTTGGTTGATGAACATCGTCGTGATAAAAGCAGGAATACTATGATTGATCATTTGCTTTCTTTGCAAGAATCAGAACCAGAGTATTATACTGATCAGATCATCAAAGGGATTGTTTTGGTAAGCTTAATTTTCTTCACTCCTGCTAGCTAGTAGGCGTTTGACCATACAATTTGGGACCCTAATTTCAAGTTTTAATTTGAAATCTGCACGAAATTTCAACTTCTCTTATTCATTAACAACTGCAGGTCATGCTGAATGCGGGGACTGAAACATCATCTGCGACAATAGAATGGGCGATGTCTCTTCTACTTAACCATCCAGAGGTGTTGGAAAAGGCCAGAAATGAAATAGACAACCATGTGGGTAAGGATCGTTTAATGGATGAAGCGGATTTACCCAAGCTGAAATACCTTCAAAGTATTATCTCTGAGACACTACGATTGTTCCCAGCAGCACCATTGCTAGTGCCTCATGAATCATCTGATGATTGCAAGGTCGCTGGCTTCCACATTCCACGAGGCACGATGCTATTGGTGAATGCTTGGTCCATCCACAGGGACCCTTTACTTTGGGAGGATCCAGAGAGCTTCAAGCCAGAAAGGTTTGATGGTGTGGAAGTCGAATCATGGAAGCTATTGCCTTTTGGAATGGGAAGGAGAGCTTGCCCTGGCTCCGGACTTGCTCAACGTGTGGTTGGTTTAGCTTTAGGAACTATGATACAGTGTTTTGAGTGGAAGAGGGTAGGCAAAGAGGAGGTTGATTTGACGGAAGGAAAAGGTCTTACTATGCCAAAAGCTGAACTACTCACGGTTAGGTGCAAAGCTCGTGACATGGTTCACAAAGTTCTTTCAGAAACATCCTAATGTTTCCAGGGTCTTTCTTGCATGTTGTTAGTTAAGAAAGGTTTGAATAAGTCATGTATCATGTATCTTCATAGTCTCTTATACTATGCACTATCTGAGTTTCTGTTTTGTCATTCAGATACTTTGGAATAATATATATATGGGGTGCTATTTGCTCTTTAATGGTGAAAACATAGGCTGATGAACTACGGATTTAATGGATTCAATTGAAATCATCGCAAAAATATGCATATGAAAGACAAATGTCAACAGATATTAATTCAGAACCCATAATTCTAACTGTACAATAGATCAGTGGTAAGAACTTTCGCGGTTGAACCCATCAATTTAAATCCTTCTGGTGTACGAAGTGGAAACAAGGCTAGAAACCTTGAGACTCAATTACAACTCCCATTTGCAGTAAGTACTTGGCATCTTCTGTAAATAAGACATCATTTCTTCTCAGGAACTGCTCAAATTTCATATATCTGAACTTGCTGGTGTCCTCACGGTGGAACCTGTTTCCATGCTTCACGGAGAAGCTGGTATCTGACAACATTCCTTGCAGGTTTTGCTAAATTTGGATAATCCTTGAAGCTATCAGCAAGGAACGAAGTAAACGGTGAGTCTAGCTCATCAAGCTCAACATCACTGGTGTATGTTTTTTTAAGCACAGATGAACCAGTACTCTTTGGAACTTGATTCCCAACCTTCTCTATAAAAGTGGTGAGAGACAATGCTGGAGGAGGTGTATAGGCCGTCCAGGTTGCAGTACACGGGAAGCTAGTGTGGTGCTCTCCTGGTACATCCTTCACATCATTAATCAGGAAAAATAGAGTACGTAAGAAAGGGTATGTGACATGATGATTAATGAGTTCCATAAAAAAGAGTAAATTGCAATTAAGTTTTATGGATGATAAATCTGCTTGAAATAATCAAATGAGAGGGAAAACTTACTTCAGAATCCAGGGTCTCAACAACATTTTTTGGAATTGGATTTGGACGGAACTCATCTGGGACAAAATTAGCAAGGACTTTTTTGATCAAAGCTGGACTAAATATTGGGCAGACCTAGCAACAGCAAGTTCACAAATTAAGTATAGAGAAAATGGATTTCTAGAGATTGATCTATAAAGGGGAACTAGGACTAACTTCTTTTCTTGTGGATGCATCGATGAGCACTTCAAATGGAAGCATCATGAGGTTGCTCAATGCATTAAGGAGTCGAAATGCCTTGAATGATTCTGTTTTCTTGTCATTTCCAAAGATGTTACTATACTCAGGTGAATCTTCATCTTCAAAGCCAATAAGATCTGTAAGCCATCTAGACCAGCTTCCAACCTATCAACAAACCAAAATGCTCATAACCACTAGATTATTACTCTCTTGAACCAAAAGTAAATCTCATTTCCTTCTTAAGAGTTAAATCAAGAGATCTTTGACATTTATACATATGCAAAAGTTGAAGTCAAAATATTTCTATGAAAATTAGTACAATGGATTCAAGAGATCAAATTGTATCACAACTCTCAAATAGCAAGATAGTAAAGAATTATAGGAAAAAAATTTAAGCATTGGAAATTACATACATATGCACAACTATATTCTCACTTCTCATTACAATGATGTATATTATCAACAAATATTGGCCATTGTTTGTATCTCACCTTGCGTAAATAATGGAATTGCCTCATAAATAAATACTTCAAGAACAATAAACGAGTATGAAACTAGTAATGTTTAAGCTAACATTTTCTACTCACAGCATTTTTCAACTGTGCACCAGCTCCAAAGCTTGATTTTCCAGGAGGAATTGGAAGGACCTTTCGATCACTTATAGGATCAAACATTGGATCTGTTGGCATTTCTTCGGTGGATTCACGAAGAATAGCATTGAACATTGCCACATCCAATCTACTCACCAACTGTTTCATTACCTAGAAACACAATGAATACATTTCACTGTAAGACATTGCTTGAGGAAAAAATAAAAGATGCTGGGAAATTGGTTAATAACCGGAACTACGAATCTCGCACAGACGGAGTAGAAGTACTAGTAGAATGAAGTATAAACAGACATCTCATTCTAATGAATCAACTCACCAACTTTGGCAGAACAGGTAAGCAGCCACATTTATGTCCCAATGCTCGAAGTGGACAAAGCCTTTCACAGGCATCCTTCAGAGCCCTTTTCCAAAGTTTTACAGAAAATTTACCCTGCTCTTGATCACCCAAAGAATGTCTACTACCATATGTTTTCTTCACCCTTGAGGCCCTAGTCTTACTAGTTTTTGCAGTCCCAAACTGCATATGTGGAGTCAGAGTCTGCAGGCAAAAATAAGGCATTGCACCGTAAACAAAGTAGTACTTATTATGACAGAAAAGCACAGAGGAAATTTAGGTGACCAACCTGCCACCAAAGAGACTTGGTGATTTTGGAGAAGATCCAACCTTCAAGTTTTTCCAATGCTTGAGTGAATGATTCGATATCCTCCCAGTTATAATATTGCTTAACTATATAATTCTTGTTCCCTTGGTTGGCAATGTATTTGATGCTTTGCTGCATATATATTTTCTCTAACGCAGACTTACCTCTGTTGACAGTAGTTTCAGTAGGTGCCCCTTCATTAAATTGTAGTCCAGCAGCAGCCTGGCTGATGATTGCTCTTAACATAATGGAATTTGAGAGCCAGAAAGTCAACCTATTTGTGAAGAAAATAAATTAAAGAAATCGTGTAAAGCTTTTTACTTTATCCTTCAACATATTTGTTACACCATATTGACAAGATTTGTTGGTCGCTCCCTAAAAAATGAGTTCTAATGCAGGTATGAGGTTGCTAAGTTGTTCTTTTTTTGGATCCCCTATTCACTTAATTTAGATCAATGGAATATTGGTGCTTATAAATTAATTAGAAGCTGGCTAATTCGAAGTACCAAGAATCTTAAGTAGCTTATCAATCAATCACGTGAGTGTACCTTGGAACATCGCTTCCACATGCTTTAGAAACCAAAGCTAATCCTGAAACAGCAGCTCTAGCAGCACTTGCCTGTTTAGCAGGGGATTTTGTTCTCCAGGCGTGGAGATAAAATCTAGCAAGGCGCCTGGCTGGGGTGTGAACCTTGTTCATCGAACTTCCATGCTCAGCAACTACAGAATAAAGGCCAACTTCAATAGCTGCAGCTTCTTTCAGTTCTTCCTCAAGCATCTGAATTCTAGACTCTGGTTCAGGTTTACTCTTCGACAAAACATTTGCAGGAACTCTTTTTTCAGTAGCTGAAGTAGTATTGGTAGTATTCTTTGGTTCTTTTTTCTCCACAGTACTCTTTGGTTCCTTTTTCTCAGCAGTACTCTTTGGTTCTTTCTTCTCCACGGTATTCTTTAATTCTTTTTTCTCCACTGCAGTACTTTTAGCAATACTAGTTTCTATGGGTGTCTGTTCTTTCATTTCATTCTTAATAATCTCAGTGTTGCCCAAAAACACATTTGGAGTCATAGAGTCTCTAATCTGAACAGACTTCACTGGCTTCAGTCGACCATTTGTGATCTGAACTCCAAGAGCTTTCCAACTCATCGTGACTTGTCTTTTTATAGATTTAGCTATTTTGTTTTCTGACAAGTCTCTTGTGTCATCATGGAGATGATCATCACGTCCAAATTCATGATCTGTTGTTTCATCCGCACTATTTTGACTGTCCATACCTGCCTGACTATGCATATGAGAAGATGTAATTTTCGATATCAACCTATCGATGTATTTTTCTTTGGCGTGCTGAGTATTTTCTTCACTTTTGCTTGTTCCACTGGCTGCCTCTTCGTTAAAGTCACTCTGCAGTTAAGCTCATTCAAATGATAAACAGAAAATAACACTACAATGGACAGGAAGCACAACTTTGTATACAATTAACCAGACATTCTCCTTAATTCGAGTGGTACTTAGGAACAGGAAAGCTGAAACTGGAGTTACATATTAAAATTCTAGAAGCATGATATGAACTAGACTCGTACTATACCCAAGTTGCAGATGATATATTTCGACAAGAATTGTCTAGTAATTAGTAATAAAATACCTCAGAACATGCTTATTTTTTCAGATGAGGTTGAGAAAACTGAATAGTACTTGTTAACAAATTGAATAACTTAAAGTACCTTTTCTTGCCGAGATGGTGATGCCCGTGCAACCTTAGAAAGAGAAGCATCAATCAATAAAAGAAGCATAAGCAGAGTTATTCAGAATGATATGATTTGATTGAACTTTGAAATACCTTAACATTGTTAGATGGTGAACCCCAAGCAGCTTCAAAAACAGAAGAAGAAAAAGTTGAGGATGAATGTGAGGAAACATCATCATCAGTACAAGAAGCAAAATCAGAATCATATTCAGCATCATCAATCATCATGTCTGATTCTTGCTTATCTTTTGTTGGCTGTACCTTAACATACAAAGATGGTTGCAGCAAGCTTTTCGAACTCTTCTTGCAGTTTAAAGGAACACTAATAGCTAAAGTTTCTCTTATAATTCCATATTCTCCAAAATTAATCGAAGCTGTCCCCAATAGCGGACCTTGAGCTGCATTATCCTTTGTATACTCATACAAAGAGAAATCCAAGTTATTCTTTAGAAATTTATCTTTTGATTTTTTCTCGCGACATAATGTTAAGAATAGGGTGAAAGTCTTGTTGATTTCAAGATAGTCATCCTCAACAGAGGCAGTAACAAATCCAGAATTACGATCACCATTCTCCCACTGAAGTAATACAGATTGAACCGATCTCAAAGACTCTGATGGAGGCCAAGGCCTGATCAGCTGAATATTAACAATGTAATCAATTTGGAAAGAAGCACCTTTTTTCTTCTTCTTCTGTCCAAGTACCATGGCTTGATAATAACTCGCGATTCAACTAACATCAAACAAACCAGAGAAAACCAATGTGTTAGTAAACAACAAACTATAGAATCATCGACGAAAACAGAAGAGAAGATTTTTACCCAAAAAAATTATATGCAGTGTGTTATGCTCTTTTGTATGGCTTCCAGGCAGAGTTTGTGAAGACCTTAATGGTACAGTGAACTTGGTGTATTTTTATTTTTTAGGAGATTGTTTGTTGGGAGAATAATGAATATAGAGAAATAGAAAACGAAGATGAACAAGCAATTCGTGCGTCCAACTACATGAAAAGAGTCATTTATTTGGAGAGGCAGAAAAAACAAAAATGACTAATTAAACATAGGTGACTTGAGACTAATATGCCTAACGGCTTCTCCACCGGCCAATATTGAAGAAAATGATTATTATTAACGTCTTAGTTAATTTTGTGGTTTGCCACTAATATCGACTAATGCCTAACCATTAGCTAAATTTAATATTGGGTTTGTATAAGATAGTCTATCATTTGTTTTTGTGCATTCATCTGATTATTAATTGTAACATAAACACTTACCTTTTGAATAAGCTTAGTAAAATGTCATTTATAGTCAAGGTACAGGAGTTAATTTTATGCTATTGGTAAAAGGTGGATGAATTCATCCATTGCTGATCTAGCGGTGGTGTGTTAATAAGAGTGAAGACTGCTATCCTTGTGTAAATTTTAATGCTCTTCTCTTTTACTTCCTTTCTCAATCCTAATTTTTATTACTTCGGCATAGTTCGCATCTATAACTTTTGAGTTTAATTTATGTCAATCAATGCTAGGTATTGAAATGTGCAGATTGCAGAAAACGAGCAACTGCTACAAATTAAATGACTGACGCCGTTTACTCTATCATCTTTATGAAAACAATGTTTGATGAAACAGGCCTGTCTGAATTTGCATCACCCAAGGAAACCTTGCTTCTGTTTCCTGCAGGATTTGGCATCCCCACAAACAGTTCCTGTTTTTATTTTCGGTACCTACCTCGTTTATCAACAACGTAACAATTCAAAAATTAGAGCCCAACTCCATTTTTATTACCATTAATATTTTTCCTGTTTAAAAAAACTTTCATACACAAGTCTATGAAAATCTTTCCAAAACTGAAATACAAAGACTTATTTTCTTTACTTGTATCGTACTAAAGTACTTTCTACAGTTGTAATGCATAGCTAGTTCTAGTCTTCTAGATTAAGCAAAGTTTAGTATTAAGCAAAATATAATGAATTTTTCGATAATAGGCAATAGCATCCGCAGTCAATGCAAGTTCAGTGGAACAGTTTAAGTGCATGCAATCTAGTCGGAACATGTAAGTCATCTCAACTAATATGCGACTGAGACATGACTGATTGATGCATATAAATAAAAAAATAAAATAGGGCAGAAACAGTAGCTTTTGTATGTTAAGCAAAATTACCAATTTCGAGCGTTTAATTAACCAACAAGATAAAACACTATTTTATTAGCCAGCCACAAAAACATTCAGGGACGTCCTCCCAACTAGAAATTAGTTCTAATAGTAGATACTATTAGAAATACTACTCAAATTACATACATAATTTCACGAGTGAAGTTTGGAAAGGCCACATAAACTTAGATTATTTTCGGTAGACCGTCAGCTAAAGTAACAGTAAATAAGAGAAAAGAAGAGACAACAAAATAACAACAGGTACAAAATAAGGGTAGCACAATTATTACTACACATGGGAGAAAAAGAAACTAGGCAATACCTAACCTAAATTATATACTACTAAAAAGCACTCGACTACCTTTATATCCTAACCCTCAATCTCCATCTGTCATTTGTCTCTCCAATCAGTCAAGATTAAGAAACAAATTCAGGAAAACAGAACAAACCACCTTCACCATCTGATTGCTTTCTTGACTTTCGATCTAATCACTTTCGCTCCGGCTGGGTTTTGAGGAGGTGAATCCAACCTGATTAATAAATATGAAACTGAACACAAATTTATAGTGTAATAAAACATATGGAGAGTCAATAAACTTAATATAACAACACCTGATAATCATCACTGCTGGGAATCCAGTCGTTTGTCGCCGGATTAGTCTTGAATTCTTTCGCTCTACCATTCTCATGATCACCATTCAATTGAAGATTGTAAATGTTTCCATTCGTTTGATTGACCACCTTTATGAACCCACTTCCAGTCTGCCAAAAATTTAACATTAACTAACATAAACAATCTTCATATCTTGGATCCAGCCTATATTGAATATGGTTCAATTGAACCCAGAATTTCATAGCTAATCATAAATTCAAAAGTAGTAAATTGTTTCGTGCGAAAGAGAAGAGTAGAGAACCGTGTGATGCTGTTTGTCAATGGAAACCAACTCATTGTAGTACTGAGTTTCCACAAACTCGTCTTGCTCCGAGCAATTAGTTTCCGATAAAATACTACCACCCTGATCAAAATCGAAAGGAGTGATCAGAAAGAGTAAAATAATATGTACCAGCAGGAAAAATTAGCAGAGTACCTGAGATTGAAGAGATCGGAGATTGTCAAGCTCTGGAATAGGGAAATCTTCTAAAGGGGAAATGGGGGTGCCTGAATCAGGTTCACTGCGGTTAGGTTTGGCGAGTCTTTTAGGTGCTTGAGCATCGAACAGGGCTTTGACCTGGTTAGCGATTCGCAGCTGCTCATCTTCGTCTAAAACTTCGTCGCTCCGGCTGGGTTTGGTCACCGTTAGATGCCGTTCCATGATATTGTCAGAGGTGTAAACGGTGTGGGTCGTCAACGTTACTGATATTAGTATATTCACGCATTCACCAACTACATTCGAGATTCCACTTCACAACAAAACCATGGGCGCATTCTACACTGTTGCCATTTGCCACGTCCCTCTGTCTCACCAAACCTTTTTTTTTTTTAATTTTCCACCCATGACTCTCTATTAAATTTGGATCGTCAACTGTAGAGTCTGATTTAATGACAAATCTTGTTAAGTGATTTTATTGATACTTATGTCTAAATTGAGTGATTTTATTGATATAAAATAAAGTTCAATGACTATGTTAGATAAATTGTGAAAGTTGAATGACCTTTTAAGATATTAACTCTCTATTTGAGGATAACACTTCCAACATAATTTTCTCTATATTCAATCCTTGAAGTGGATACTTCTGATTAAGGGTGAAACCGTCCACAACTCATGTTAATGTGCCAGTGCCACCAAACTTTTAATGATCTATGTTTGAAATAAAATGATAAAAAGATCAATTGATTTTGAAGAAGTGTAACCCAATCCAAACCAAAATAATATTGGATCTCTTAAATATGCCTCCTAATATAAATCACAAGTAAAACGTAAAACACAATACTTAAGAGTATATCAATTATAGATGTCCAAACATAAAATATAAACTAAATCATAGTGAAAGACAACAACATACGAGCTCTATATATATAATTCGATTTTCTTGGTTTTTCGACTTTTATTTTTTTAAAATTCGAAATCAAACCAAAAAATCAAACATAGTAAACTATTAATTTAAAATCAAATCAAAATTAAAATTTGATATAATTTTTTACTTTAATTTATATAGTACACGCCCCTAAAAATAAACGTATTGATGAACCTATTTTCAGTCTGCCAAAAGTTGAACAATACCCAAGAAAAATAAGACAATATAAACGGTTTATATCTCTACCAGAGCATTGGCTAGATGTACAAGGGCTTCGTTTGAATTCACTTCATCGAAAACTTACACAATGTATATAAGATTAGTAGTATATGTTGAATTTTCTTTTAACTTCTTTGTATAGATTTACTTTTTTTTCTATTTTGAATTATCCTATTCTTCTCTGTGAGATTGGAAAGGAATTTGTGAGAAGGCTTTGATTCGTATCGCAGTTGGGGTGGGTTTCTCCAAAAGAAAAAATCCTTTTGGCCATAAAAATTTGGTCATAATTTAGCCAGAATGGTAAAAAGACATGTTCACACTATAAACTAGTTTATTTTTGGATATTTTTGCTCTCTAACTTAAATATTGAATATTCTTCAATTATGTTTCCAATAAATTGAAAATGATTAATGAGATTAATTATTGATGATTTCATCATTAAACATGATAAAGAAACCACAAAATTCACCAAAGAAAACATAAGTCTCACCCACTCTTCTTACTTGAAATTTTCAAGAACTAAAAAGAAAATAAAAAATATGATAGTAGTAGTAAAAAAAATTTAAAAATATATATCTTTTTCAATTTCTAAATTTCCTCCTTTCTACTTATTCTTTTTTGTTTATTTATTTTTCATTTCTTATCTCTTAATGATAAAAAAAAGTACAAAAGAGGAGTAAAGTGTAGGCTATCTATTTTACTTTATAATTTCTAATTGCGAAAAGATAAATTATATCTAAATGTAAATATTAAAAATTTATATCTATAATACTCAAATTAAAAATATGAAATTCACCAAGTTGACAAACCAATTACTCTTATTTATTTAAAAGAGTTGTGTTATGCATGAATTTTCTAGAAAAAAGTTAAATGATAAAAATATATTTTATCCGATTATACTTAGAATGTATCTGAGCGAAATATGAAGAAAACTGAAATTACCATCATGTTTCCTCCATTATGTGATTACTTTCATATCCTCGAATGTATATGAATCACATCATACACAAATAAAGACTCATTAAAATTAATGAATCATATTATAACACAAATGTTGATGGTGCTTCATTGAAAATTATAATAACTAGGAAAGGATATAGAAAGTTCTTTATGATTTCAAAATAAACTTTTATAAAAAAAATCGAAAGACAAACATCTTCATAGTTCTTTGATGATAATGACAACACAAATTTGTTAAACATGAACTAGATCAAAGTTTCATCACACATATATTTTTCTTTATTAGTATTATTTGTTGTTTTATATAAAAAAAAAATGTTTGCTATTAAATGATATGTTAAAATATTAAGTATACATAGTTGTAGTCACAATAATTTTTTTTGCTCTCAAATTAATATTTTTTTGAAACTGATTAAGAATTTTAAAATTAAGTAATTTTACTGTATTTATTATATGAATAAATTTAAATTACCTATATAAATATTTTTTTAAATTCAATTTTAAATAATTTTTTAAATATAATGTAAAATAGTTCAATAATAACAGTCAAAATTCAAAATGCTTTAGAATCGGTAGATATTGATACAATAAAGAAATACTAAAAATCATATGGTTCATAAGTGTCAATTCTATTTCACAACAACCCAAGATAGCTACACATTAATGTTGTTGTTTTGATATTTGTTAATTATTATGCTTTAAAAAATTAAACTACATATTTAAATATTATGTTTTAAAAAATTAAATTACTTATTTAAAACTACATATTTAAAAATTAAACTAAATATTTAAAAAATTAAACTACATATTTAATTATTGTGATTTAAAAAATTAAATTACATAGTTCTATAATGTGTTGATTTTTATCAATTCTAAAGTATTTTGAGTTTTGATTATCGCTATTGAAATATTTTTCAAATTATATTTAAAAACATATTTTTATGTATATTATTAACATGAATTTTAACTGTCTCCTTCAATAGAATATTGTATATTAAATGAAAATAATTTTTTTAAAGATGTATATCCTAATGGGAAAATCCTTTTGGGCATAAAAAATTTGGCCAAAATTGTAAAAGGACATGTTCACACTATAAACTAGTTTATTTTTAGACATTTTTTTCCTTTAACTTAAACATTGAATATATTTAAGTAAATGAAAATACTATATTAAATGAAAATATTTTAAAAAAAATGTATATCCTAATTATGTTATACTTTATTTACATTGTACTAAATATATTCTAATTTAATATAGTATCCTACATAAAATACATGTATTTTAAAGTATTATACTTGATAAGTAAGTATTGAGTGATCTTTTATTTATTTGTTTTGAAGCATCTTCAATTAATTAATATTATTGGAGTAACTGTATTTTGTATTCATGGTTAAAATTAGTAAAATAATTTCACCAATTTCTATATATCTTAATTCTTGTTTGGAATGATTATGATATAAAAATCTAATGTGTTATTCATGACATAGTTATAAATGTCTTATCATCAATTATTTTTTAGAAATATCTAATTTTCAAAATGACATTATTTTTCTCTTGAAAAACATCTATTATATATATAGACTGATCTATTTAGTTGATTATATTTAAAGAAAAATTCAACTAATTTCTTTTGAATCTACGCTTAATTACTATATTTTACTAAATTTGTAGTACAAAATAATTAAGTATAATCTTAAGTAGATAAGATAGTCATTTGTAGTTATTATTAATGAGAAATTTAATTGTCTTCTTCAATAAAGAGATTTATTTTAAGCGATTTTTTTTTTCCAAAGGTATGCATTGGTACCTCATGAACATTTTTTTTAGGTACAATTCAAAAATATTTTTTAAACTAAAGCGTACAATTTTTTTTATTAACTGAACAATATTTATTTTTAAAAATAAATCGAATGAACTATACATGTACACAAAAAAATATACACAAGAATATTTTTTATTAAATGAACAAAATATTCAGATAATGATAAGCAAATAAATCCACACATACGATGTTTAAGACTGAAATTAATCATTGAAATAAAAAGGTTTTTTAAAAAATCACATTTGAGAAGTATCAAATATATTACTGAACTTTGTGAGAAGTATCACATTAAAGAAAGTTTCTAAATTACCTTGTATGTAATTAACTTATTTATAGTGTTATGTCATAATTTCACTATAAAATATCAAAAGAATTTATAACAGGAAAAAAAAAATGTATACATAAAATTCATCTAACTATTAAATTTATCACACGAAACTTATTTTTCTATATTTATCACATAGAAGTACAAACTTTATTCAATAAAGATTTGTTATTGTCTGAAAAGAATAGTCTTTATCATAAAAAAATATTTTATTTATTTTTTAAAAGATGATTATGAAATCTAATATTCAAATGAGTATTTTTTTTTTTTTTGAAATATAATATTCAAATGAATATATTAGTGAAGAAAAAAAAGCAAATCATATTATTTTTTACTATTGATGATAGTGTATTAAATAGACTATAATAAAATTAAAATAAAGAAAACAAATGTAATATTATCCCCAATAAATTTTGTGTTATGAAGTTAGATATTAACGAATATTTTTTTTTGTGTGCTTGATTTTAGAATTGGATGATTTGTATATAATAGAAATAAATAAATATTATTTTACAAGTTCAAAATTAGAAAATCATTGATAAATTGTATCCAAAAATATTTTATGGAATTAGAATTTGTATAATTTAATTTTACATGTAATGGAAAAGAAAAGAGAAAGGCTGACAAAAAAGATAAAGAAAAAGGAACAAAGAAAGAGTGAATTAGGAAGAATTAAGAGAAGGTGAAGTTAGATTATAATGGTCCCACATTATAAAGTCCATTAAATAATTTTCTTCACACAATTAATAATAATTCTAACTCACTAAACATAATAATTGTTGTTGACACATATTTTTAGAAGTTTAGAAAATAATAGTAATAAAGACTTGATTTTACTTTAAAAGAAAAAAAAGTTAAATTAGTCTTTTTACAATTCTGACCAAATTACGGCAACATAATTCTGGCCATTTAGCAGTCAGTTCCCACCAGCTTATATTATAAGTTGGAATTTGTTGTATGGCTGGTTGGTCCAGAATTCGAAGTAGGTGTTTTGTCCGTGTG